TAATACTCATTAAAATTGGACAATTGCTCATTAAAAGTACATTAATGCTCATTTAGCAGAAACCGTGATTTTCACATTCATTACAAAAATGCCACCGAATTATTTTGCTATTTTTCCCTTGGGCCTGTTACTAGCTTAGGCCGGCTGTACGGTGCTCAGCGTACAGCCGGATGTACCATATACGCACTCGTCTTATATGCTGTTTCGATATTAATATAAAAATCCTCTTTTATATTCAAACAAAAAAATTGTCGGAGTCCATCTTTATGTCACCGCAGCAAAAGAACTCCTACGAGTGCCTATATTGTACACTCGGATAGTCGGATGTATGTACATCCGGCCCAATAAAGGAAGACAGCCCAATAACCAGTACAGGCCATTTTTTCGGTGGCATTTTTGTAATTTAAGCGAAAAATTACAGGTTACGGTAAATGAGCAATATTGTACTTTTGGTGAGCATCTGACCTATTTTATTGAGTGTTAGGAGGCTAACAATGAGTATAACGATTTCTGCTTCATATCTTCTATTTTTTCTTTTTCTCATTATTTTCTTTTATAAACACTTGTTTAACTTATATCTATTATCTACTCCTATTAATTTAAACATGCAATTCTAATGTAATATGATACTTTTGAAATATGCATTAATATGACATTTAAAAAATGAGCATAACATGAGTACCAAATGAGCATTCGCAACTTACAAAGTGCACATTGATATGAAAATCATAAGGTTTGTTAGTTCAACATCACAACATTTTAACTAAGCATCAAACCTCCATTATTGAGATTAAAATTATGGTTTCTGGTGAATGAACATTAATGACCTTTTAATGAACATCAGAACAATTATGTTGAGTATTAGGAGTCTAATATTATGAATCTGATCTCTGCTTCATAACTTCTAATTCACTTTCTTATTGTTATTTTTTCTTTTATAAAAAATTATTAAATTATATCTATAATCAACTCTTATGAATTTCAATATGTGAATCTAATGTAATATGATACTTTGGAAATATGCATTGATATGACATTTTAAAATGATCAAACATCAATATCAAATGAGCATACTTAACTTACAAAATGAGCATTGATATGAAAATCGCAAGCTTTGTTAGTTGATCATCAAAACATTTTATTTGAATATCAAACTTCGTTTATTGTGTGTTTGAATCATGTACATGGTAGTTATTAAATATGCATTGATATGAAATTTTAAAATGAATATAGCATCAACATACCAAATTTACAAAATGAGCATTGATATGAAAATCGTAAACTTTGTTAGATGGACATCAACACATTTTCATTCAGCATCAAATTTACTCTATTGATCGAGTATTAGAATCATTGTGTATGGTACTTTTGAGACATGCATTAATGTGACATTTTAAACTGAGCACAACACCAGTACCGATTGAGCACACATAATGATGTGTGTTTTCTCGCACTTAAAATAGATCGTAATATAGTGGTATAAGTACGAGTATCGTCTCCACAGGGACGGACAAAAGGGAATCAAGAATTAATTAAATTAAGCGATTAAAAAGAAAATAAAATAAAAGCGTCGTGCGAGATTGGTTGGTTTGGAAAATAAAACTAATGCGAACAATTAAACTAGGGGGTTCTTTCTAATTAATGACGAAGGGAACAGGGATCGATTCCGGGGTAACCAGATTTATGGCAGATCAGGCCTAATTACATGAAATTAATTTAATTGAGCCTAGCTAATCATTACTAAGTTCTTACCGCTCTCGCGGCGTAGAGTACAATAATTTAGGGGACCATGCTGATCTCTCATGCGAAAGGATCCTAAATTATTGCCAAGACGAGCGAGCTTACGGCCCCTTAATCGCTACTAATCTCTTAGCGAACGATTAAGTGTGTGTGAATGTGTCCTAGAACAAATTTAATTTATTCTACATGCAATTGTAATTCTAGTCGCGATTCTAGGTTACAAAAGATATCAATTAAATTATTCAAACACAAATTAAACGGCATTTATGCAATTAAACCGAAAAGAATTTAGTCATACATCATGATTAACCCCTTCATCAATCCCAAATCCCTAATTAAAACTACTCACAATTCATAATTGAAGAATCAATAGAATTGGAATAAAAAGAATTAATTGTCATTAATTAAAAAGGTGGAACTTACAAAAAATCCCAAAAGATTGGTGAACAAGGCTGAAAACCCTCTAAAATTCGTGCTAGGCACTCTCTCTAAGCTCCCCCCGCGAAAACGGGGTTTACAGGCTGTTTAAATAGGAAAAACGGAGCAATTCGGGCGAAATTAGGATTCCAGGGGCAACGCACGGGGACAACGCACGGCGTGCGTCCCCCAGTGCGTCCGGAGCATAGCCGCGTAAAAATATGGAACGCACGGCGTGCGTCCACCCACGCACGGCCGTGCGTTGCTGGCAGTATCTTCCTTGCTTTCTCGCCTCAGACGCACGGTCGTGCGTTCCCCTACGCACGGCGTGCGTAAAACTTCCGAATTTGACAAAACTTCCTTCATGAAAGTTGTAGATAATGAAGTCCTCTATCCAACCTAATTTTCCGAATATGATTTGAATCATCCAATCAACAGATATGATCAAAACGGTGGAAGGTGTCTTTCTGAAATCGCAGCAGAGATCATCTGACTTCATCGTCTGTTTTCACCTTCTTCCTCTCAGATTCTCGCAAAGGTGTCTTCATACGATTTGTAGCCCTTGAAGTTGGATTTCCTATGCAATCGTGTCCATTGGTTGTTCCTACAAAGAGATAAGCTTGAACGATTGACATAAGGTCATTCTGATCGTCGTTTTCAAGCTTCATTCATCTTCTTTTGATCCCGAAGCCAATCCTAGAGCTCTTTTTCCTTCAAATCTTCATCGTGAATCTTCCGGTGATCTCCAAAGCTATCAAATCATTCTCAAATGCTTCTCAAATCATCCCGATTGTTCCTCAAGTGCCGGTATCGGACTCAAATTCCCTGATTTTGACTACAAACAACACAAAACTCGAACCAACGCCCGGTAAACATAACTTGAGCTAAAATTGAGACTTGCAACACCTTAAAGCTAGGGAAAACCATCAAAACCGATCCCAACACGCATCAAATACAGTCAAAATATGGACTTATCACATAACTACAAAATGAGTATCGAAAATTCAAAAACTCATTTCAAATCTCTAATGTTCATTTTTTATCCTTTTTAAGTTCATTCCTTTTAATGATTTTAAGGTTCCAATAGGCGTAGAAAGTTGCCCAATCGGTGAATGGCTTCTGCTTTCAAGCACTGACGTCCCAAACGAATGGCTTCTACTTTTATGCAGTCTCTGGACGACTCTGGCCAAGCACTTCAAGTGCTCAAGCCACTGTAGAAGAGAAGATTAACTGATAGCGTGAAATGGTTGCCGGAACTTGAAGCTTCTTAAATCATTTAATCCTCTTGAACTACTTAATGAAAATCTAAATATCAGTAGCCGGTCGAAGCATAGCATCATCGTCCATGGAGAAAATGGGATGATGAGAATAAGGTGAAATAAATGATATGCGTAAAGAAAGTATCGCCTACCTATCTAGGTCCCAGAGGAATGGCTCATGCTCTGTAATAAGCATCTCTCCGATTTTGCTCCCACAGGTCGTCGCTGATCGGGACTCTCCCTAGCGTCGCCCTCCCCTATTGCCCTTGAAATTCTTACATATTACGAAAATACCTGAATGTATAGTGAGCACTATACATCCGGTGTGCCATATAATTTACCAACTCCTACTAGGGTATGGGATTTTTCATATTCAAATTTCTTTATAGTGAAATAGCAATAATCATATGTAACACATCGTTCCTGATTTCATGTGTGATTGTGATTTCACATGTCTATTAATCGGTTAGGCACTTAGGTTGCACCGTTAATAATTTAGTTTAATTTCCCTAATCGATCAAGTGTTTCTTTATTTAGAGTCAGGTTTGATTTTAATTTGTTTTCTTCTTTTAAGGATCCAGAGAAGTATCAAAGGAATATACGTGAGAGTGTTGTCGGAGAATTGTAATCTTCGGTGCCATTAGGGAGCAGCTTCGTTTTACGTTGCAGTACTATGGAGAATTATAATTTACTGCTCCGTATATTGTTTTAGAGCCATTTGTTAGCATGAAAATCGACTGATTTGGCTGATTCTGTTGAAATTTATAAAGTTCTGGGGCTGCATTGGTTGATTGTGTTGATTTAAGAAAAAAAATTAAAATATATTTTATTAATAGAATAAAGGAAAACTTATAATAAAAATAAACTAAAATGATCGTCTGCAGTAACTTCAGCCAATACATCCAAAAAAGTATCTTCAATTTTACTTTTTCTTCTTGTTACACAATTCAGCGCGCAAAAATCAAAATTACGTGTTTGGTAATAAAGTAAGAATGATTTTGAGCCACACAAACTTTATAAAATAAGGTATGTGACAATTAAATAAGCACATCCCAATATGATAAAACGGGACATTTAAAAGGGAACGGAGTACATACTAAATTCCATGTAGACACCAAATTGGGCCGTGATATTTGTGCATTGGAGGCTCCTTTGGTAGTTTAATATCTAGTCAATACACTTTCTTTTATGAGACTAGAGGGCAGACCGGCAGAGGCTACTCCGTTGGTGATACTAGCCCCGGAGTGTTTGGTCACAAATGCTATTTGGTCATATGACTCATATCCACCCATGCCCAGAAGGGGTGCCTTTTCCCTTCAGCTAATGTTGATGTCACAAAGGGAAAGTATCTATTTTTTAAAAGTGTCCACTATGATGAACCTACAACCACAAAAAATTGTAATCACCTATTTCATTCTCTCCAAAACTCCACCCTAATAGATTTCTTGCAAGCACTGCAAATCTCCTTCCGCTACATAGTCTCAATTGCCTCGCATAATCTTTCAATAAGACTCACACACCGGGCCGGGCCAGGCCGGGCCAAACCGGTCCATTTTTTTTGTTCTCCTATTTAACCCCCTACCCCTCCCCCTCAACCCCAAACCACCTCAAATGGCCCAAAATACCTAATCCAACCCAAAACTTAAAAAAATTTCAAAAAAAAAATAATTAAAATCCGGCCCGGACCGGGCCCGAACCAGCCGGGCCGGTTCGCCTAAAGCAGGGCCCGAGCCCGGACCGCCCATCACCCGGGCCGGGCCAAACCGAACCGCTGGACCCACCGGGCCCCGGGCCGGGCCGGGCCAAACAGTAACCGGGCCGGGCCGGTTTCGGGTCGGGCCGCCCAGCCCGAGTCCACCCCTAATACAAACGATCGAATTGTGCTTGTACTCAGGTGATATTGTTCTTTTTTGAAACATCTTTTTGATTGATAATTTTGCTTCAAAGACGGTCAGGCGGACAACTTTATTCAAGAGATAGTGTTATAATTATATGTAATTATTTTAAATTATGTCTTTTTTCTATTTGAACCATTGAACAATTAATTTTATTGAATAAGTTTGTTATTATATGTGATTTTATTTTTATTCATATATGAGAGCCTCAATTTTGCATTGGAACCGGGGCCTCTAAATCTATGTGACGGCCCTACTCGCACATACCATATCACACGGCGATCTCAGCACATATTATACCTCAACCTTCACCTGGCTCACGCATATTTGGCACATCCCTAAGAGTTGGGGTGGCACATCCCATCCAATTACGGACTAAGTAAAATAATCACCACTCATATGCATAAAATGCAACACGACTGTGCATATTCTACACCATCTCCGAGCATAGAGATGACAACCCAAATGTAGTGAAAATAGTTATTTGATTCAAGTGATGAGACGTGAGCAAGTTATACCCTGGTCGTCGCCCCACCTACCGAAGCACCCACATCCTAGGATAGTTTGGAAAAAAACACAATATTATTCAAGATTAAGGTTTATCTTTTTTCTTCATTGGGTATATAGCAAGGGGACCCACTCTCAATTTATGGTGTGGTCGTGCGTTTGTAAAAAGTGCATGTGTATCAATGTACTACCTCCGGTTTTTATTAAACTTCACACTTTGACTTCACACAAAATAAGGAAAGAAATTTGACTTTACTGTAGAGTACACTGTTGAGGCACTGTTTGACACTGTTTAGCACTGTTGAGACACTGTTTGGCACTGTTGAGATACTGTTTGGCACTGTTTGACACTGTTTTGATGTAGATTTCTTTGCCAAAAAAGGAAATAAGGAAGTGTGAAGTTTATTTTAGACCGTCCAAAAAAGAAAAGTGTGAAGTTTAATAAAAACCGGAGGGAGTATGTGTTAGCGCACACAAAGAAACAACAATTCAACCAACCGCAGCATTCTCAATAGTCTCTATGCATTCTATTACTGACGCGTTCTTGGACATGGCTGCCATCAAGTCTTCATGAACCCCTGTATTATTCTTAATCAGTGAGCCCGCAAATAGAACCTGCAACATATAGCCTTCCCCAAATTAACCACTTGAAAAACGTCCTTCAACTAAAATGACAAAATGTACAAAAGCAAAAGCTAAATATTTCTAATGCAAATCTAACACAAGCATTACTGCCCATCTTGTCAGATTTTGTTGTTGCTCTTTGTTAAGTGTCGGCTTGCTCCTGTTTATAAGCCTCTGTCAGACACAAAAAGAAAGACAACAATTTCAGATTGGAAAAAAGAACACACACAAAACATTCCAGACATAGGCTGATGCAAGAGGTGATGTGAGAGGTATGAGACACATAATTTAACAAGTCTCTTTGACTAAAATGAGACAGGATGACTTCATACGCAGATCATGTGCTAAATATACCTTAAACAGGCTACCCTAAATGATGGATGTTAAACAAAAAATATAACCACAATGAATATAGCACTAATACCATATTAAGACTATTCATCTGAAAAGGTCAACATTATTGTTGAACATTAAGAGTTAGGGTTCCATGGTAATTGAGGAGCTGTGGACCAAATACTACAACAAAGACAATGAGAAATAAAGACAATAGACCTGAAGAGTGAAGAGATCTGCTGATTGCCCCAGCACACTATTGTACTTTAGACCTTCTGCAGCCAGGCCGGCCATTGCTACAACTGCTAGCCTGGGAATTTCCATTACCATTCTCCCTCAAAAATACATTTCAGATATGATGGATTCATATTGTTATAGCATTCAATTTAATAGAAAATCCATCAAGATAATTACTTTAATGCTGAGTAAAAAACAAAATGACATAAAAAAGGAACTCAAGGACTGAGATTAGGGTTGTAAACCATTCATACATATTGATTCGATTGGCGATTCTAACTCGAAATATTCAGATACAAATCCAAATATGAACATATATTTGATTCGATGTACTTTCAAATAACAAATATGAATATATGTGTATTGAATTCGATATTGAGATATTCGCATATCAAATTTTATCTATAAACATTACGAAAAGCCACACTTTTAGTCCCTCATTTAATTCTCATATAGGAATATAATCAATGTCTTTTAATTTTTGCAAATATCATTGCTTAAATATAGTCTGTGCCGTTATTTATGTAGAAACTAATTGTGCAGTTGAGGACAATATTCGTAACATGTTGCACACTAAAGGATGAAATTTGAAAAAATGTTGTCCGTTACATTATTAAGGGAAGAGATACCAACTAAATTTACAATCTATTCCATAATCCGAAAAATTCGGTATAAAATAATACTTCCATATGCGTAATAAATGAGGTAATAAGTGTTAGAGTATCCCATACTCTACGAATGATTAGTTGGACATATGCAGTATACACGGCTCCATTACACTTATCTGCACATACATTGTACCTAGTTAATATTATTCATATTTATCCTCATGTATACGGTTTGTAGTTACCGAACTATACGGATCACAATTGTTGTAACCTATTGTAAGCATGGCTATTTAAAGCCAACATGAATACAGATTTGACACGGTGAATTTACACCATCTAACTTGGTATCAGACTCCAAGCGATCCCCTCTTCCTCCCATCACCATGTCTTCCCCTTCCAAATCTCATTTTCACCCAGCTCTTGCCGTCACTAATATCAAGAACCTTATTCCAATTACCCTAGATAGTGAACACGCCCAGTACTCTACATGGTCTGAGCTGTTCAAAATCACAGCACGTGCATATCAGGTCATTGATCACATCCTCCCACCCTCTGTTGACACTCCATCCGCAGCATCATCTTCAACCTCCGACTCCTCTGCTTCTGCCGACGACCCAGCACTGTGGACTCGCCTCGATGCCATGGTCCTTCAATGGATATACGGGTCAATCTCAAACGACTTGCTGCACACCATCATTCAACCAAACTCTACGGCTAAGGCGGCATGGGACCGTCTTACGGACATCTTCCTCGACAACAAACACACCCGGGCGATCCACCTTGAAAACCAGTTCTCCAATACTCGACTGGATCAATTCTCGTCCATTGATGCTTACTGTCGGACCCTTAAAACTCTCTCCGATGATCTGGCTAATGTAGGTGCTCCGGTGGATAACCGGCGTCTAGTGCTGCGCCTAGTCAACGGTCTCAACGGCCAATTTGAATCTGTGGCGTCATTTATTCAACAACAGGTTCCATTACCGTCCTTTTTCACTGCCCGCTCCATGCTCACTCTGGACGAATCTCGCCGGGCCCAACATGTTGATACCCCCACCACTGCATTAGTTGCGACTCCGGCAGCCCCGACTGCTTCCACCGTCACCCCAGCTCCGTCGTACAGTTCTCGCCCTCGGGGTGGTGGCCGCTCTGGCCGCACTCGGGGTGGCGGCGGCCGTGGACGTGGTCGCTCTTCCAACGGTTCTTCCCCTATACCGTCACCTCCTCAACCTTGGTCACCTGGGTCTCCTCTTCCTTGGTTCCAGTCTCCTTGGAATCCTTGGATGTCCTGGCAGATGCCTCCGTGCCCATACCCTACGGCACCGGGTTTCTCTCCAGCACCTCGCAACCCATCAGCCGGAATCCTTGGACCTCGTCCACAACATGCTCACATGGCTACCCCAGAATACTCTTTTGGCAGTACCTCTCTTCCTTCGGCCATGCAGACTCTCACGTTAAATCCACCGGATGATGGTTGGTATATGGATACCGGCGCAACCACACACATGACGTCGGATGCAGGTACTCTCTCGTCTTTTATTAATACGGGTTCCTATCCTCGTATCATGGTTGGTAATGGTCACACTCTTCCAGTTTTGGGTCATGGTCAGGCCACTCTTCCCAACCCATTACCCCCTCTTACTTTATCACCTATTCTTCACACCCCCACTCTTGTTAAAAACCTTATATCTGTACGTCAATTTACTACTGATAACTTTGTATCTGTCGAATTTGACCCATATGGTTTTTGTGTGAAGGACCTTCGAACCCGAGCTCCTCTAATGCGATGTAACAGTCAAGGCGGCTTGTACCCTCTTTGTGTGTCTCCTGTCAAGTCTCCCACTCATCATGCATACAGTGCAGTTGCTTCCGACGTGTGGCACAACCGTTTGGGGCACCCTGGATCTCATATTTTTCAGTCTCTTAGAACAAATAAATTACTCTCATGTAATAATACCTCTAGTCACAATTTATGTCATTCTTGTCAGTTAGGCAAACAAATAAAGTTACCATTTAGTTCTTCTTTGTCGTACACCACGGCTCCTTTTGACATCATACACAGTGACGTCTGGACTTCCCCTATCGTAAGTTCCACAGGTCACCGATATTATGTATTGTTCCTTGATGACTTTACACATTTTTTATGGATTTATCCTCTCCGTACTAAATCTGAAGTATTCTCTGTTTTTTATAAATTTTATACGTTTATCCACACTCAATTTGGACGACGTATTAAAACTCTACAATGTGACAATGGTCGAGAATACAATAATTCTCAGTTTCACCAATTTTGTGCTAATAATGGCATGATTTTTCGTTTTTCTTGCCCATATACTTCTCCTCAAAACGGAAAATCTGAACGTACAATACGAACCATTAATAACATCAGCCGCACTCTTCTTCTCCACGCCTCTATCCCCCCACAATATTGGCCGCATGCGGTCCTCCAAGCGGTGTATCTTCATAACATTCTCCCATCCCGAACTCTCCATTTTCGTTCCCCCACATCCCTATTATATCACCGGCAACCCACATATAATCACCTTCGGGTTTTTGGGTGTCTTTGTTACCCATTAATACCAACTTCTCATAAACTCCAACCTCGGTCTCTCCCTTGCGTCTTTATTGGTTTTCCATCTCAACACAAAGGGTACAAGTGTCTTGATCTTACCACTCACACAATCCACATATCACGCCACGTAACATTTGATGAACATATTTTTCCTTTTGCAAACCATAAATCTGCCTCCCAATTGACCCCTTTTGATAAAACTACTGACTCCCTGCACCCATACATTGCCCATCACCTAATGTCCCCTCCCACTCATCCCACTGCCACGCCTCCCCCCATGACAACTCCACCAACCATCACTCCAGACCAAAATAATCCTCCTCCTGCCCCAGTCACCACCTCACACCATCATATGCTCACACGTAGTAAAGTTGGCACAATTCGTCCTCCCCAACGCCTGAATCTTCTAGCCCACACCCCAGCCACCATTATTCCCTCACCTATACCCAAATCCCCTCTAGCGGCTCTTCAAGATTCCAACTGGAAGGCTGCCATGATATCCGAGTATATGGCCCTTATTAATAACAAGACCTGGGAGTTAGTCCCTCGTCCCACTAATGCTAATATTATACGTTGTATGTGGTTGTTTAAGCACAAATACAGGTCTGACGGCAGTCTTGAACGACACAAAGCACGCTTAGTGGTCAATGGCAAATCTCAACAAGTGGGTCTTGACTGTGATGAAACGTTTAGCCCGGTGGTTAAACCGGCCACTATTCGTACGGTTCTCAGTTTGGCTCTCTCTCATTCATGGCCAATACGTCAATTGGACGTTAACAATGCATTTCTTCACGGACATCTTGCTGAAACTGTTTACATGCACCAACCACCTGGCTTCCGGGATTCTTCGCGGCCCTCACATGTGTGCCTCCTTAAAAAGTCCTTATATGGTCTTAAACAAGCTCCTCGGGCCTGGTATCACCGGTTTGCTACTTATGCTTCTACTCTTGGGTTTATTCACAGCAAGGTTGACCACTCTTTATTTATCTTTCATCATGGCACTGAGGTGGCTTACCTTCTCCTTTATGTTGACGATATTGTGCTTACTGCCTCCTCCCCGGGCTTAGTTGATAAACTAGTCTCTCAATTAGCTACTGAATTTCCCATTAAGGACCTCGGACCCCTCAGTTTTTTTCTTGGCATTTCGGTTACTCCTCATGCAGGTGGCTTATTTTTGTCACAACAAAAATACGCTTCTGAGATCCTGGCTCGAGCTGGCATGCTAACGTGTAATTCGTCTGCCACGCCGGTAGACACCAAGGCGAAGCTCAGCTCTCTTACGGGTCCTCCTGTCACCGACCCGTCTCTTTACCGTAGTTTGGCCGGTGCGCTTCAATATCTCACGTTCACTCGGCCGGACATTTCATATGCGGTTCAACAAATTTGTCTATTTATGCATGACCCGAGGGAACCACATTTTCATGCACTCAAACGTATTATTCGCTATATTAAGGGCACTCTCTCTCTCGGCATTCACATTTCTCCATCCCGAGCTACCTCTTTGACTGCCTACTCCGATGCCGATTGGGGCGGCTGTCCCGATACCCGCCGTTCAACATCAGGTTATTGTATTTTTCTGGGTGATACTCTGCTGTCATGGTCTTCCAAACGCCAACCTACCATCTCTCGATCGAGTGCCGAGGCCGAATACCGCGGTGTAGCTAATGCCGTGGCAGAACTTTGTTGGCTTCGTAATTTATTACTTGAGCTTCATCATCCATTATCCAAGGCTTCGGTTGTCTACTGTGATAATATTAGTGCCATCTATCTTTCCACCAACCCCGTTCAACATCAACGTACCAAGCATATTGAGATGGATATCCATTTTGTACGTGAACATGTCGCCCGTGGCAGCATTCGTGTTCTTCATGTCCCTTCACGTTTTCAATATGCAGACATTTTCACTAAAGGGCTCCCGCGGTGTTTATTCACTGAATTTCGGGACAGTCTTAGCGTTTGCTCCTTGCCCGCTAAGACTGCGGGGGCGTGTTAGAGTATCCCATACTCTACGAATGATTAGTTGGACATATGCAGTATACACGGCTCCATTACACTTATCTGCACATACATTGTACCTAGTTAATATTATTCATATTTATCCTCATGTATACGGTTTGTAGTTACCGAACTATACGGATCACAATTGTTGTAACCTATTGTAAGCATGGCTATTTAAAGCCAACATGAATACAGATTTGACACGGTGAATTTACACCATCTAACTATAAGCCCCCCTAAGCATTATTATATGTACAAATGCTATACAATTTCACTATATAAACACAAACGCAAAATTATATATATGAACTTTATCCGTTTAAAAATAGTGAAGGCTTATTATTGTCCGAAAAAGTTAAATACAGACAATGAAGTCAAGTGTTTTACTAAGGTTCATGAATTCTTAGTGTCGAATCAAGCTAAATAGGTTAATTTAGTTGAACAAAAATTATATTCTAATGTTACTAAAATTAAAATTATGTCGTTTGACGAAATATGATAGTTTTTGGTGAATATGTTAATTACTCTGTACAAAATTTAATATTTGGAAGTATAACCTAATTTTTCGAGAGAGAAAAGTAATGTAGCATTTCCCTCTTCAACCTAGTCCAACATAATTTTCGAAATCCGCCCGTTGGCGTGATAAGATCATGGACTAAACCTGAAAATAAATTAGATTCAATCATTTAGTGTTGTTTGACAAAGTGTGCTATGATCTAGTTAGTGACCCAACTCAATTATCAATTATATCACAATATCTTGATGTCAACTAGTTAGATTCAAAATTGTCTGTCAGTGTCAGTGTCAGTGATGTCTTAATAAGACCTTCAGTTGAATTAATTAATACTCAATAGGTCGAATTCAATCTTTAGTAAGGTTTGGCTGAAATGTCTTATGCTCAAGTACAATGACGCAATCCAATTCTGAATTCTCTTACGGGTGCATATATTGTTAACAACCAATCGTTGGAAAAATTACACATGAAATCTCCTAATATTATGCGTGAACACATATGATATCTCATTATACTGGCAACCCATTTTTTATGGCAGTTAGTGTCAGTATTTTACAAAAAACAAAAAACCTACAAAGGCAATGAGTTACACAGCGAGAAACAAACATAAAAAATAAAAGAGATAGTTTGAGTAATGAGTTGGGCACTTGGGCACCTGTCTAATTCTTTTGAATCAAGTTGTCCACTATATATCAGCTTTTCCAGCCTCTCATCAATGAGATTGACATGCTCTTTCCCAATATCAAGCGAGTAGCCAAGGATGGGAATGCCAATTAAGTATGCCACTGAAATTCAATGTCACACAATCCTTGTCACATTGATGGGTATGCAGTGGCAACTGGCAAGTATAACTCGAGTTAAGTAGCGCAACAGTGAGACAGAATGAATAGTATTGAGATATTGGTCCAATAAAACCAGTGAAGCCCAAATCCATTAAGGTAAAAAGACCACTCCGCTACTTTGACTTTTATAGTTAAGGGATGAAGGGAGGATTGTATTTAGAGGGAAAAAACTGAACATGAAAACAGAAATGATGCTAAAAATGCAAAAACTGGCACCAACAGTTCACAGTCTTGTTATGCAACTTCAGATATCATAATAGGTATTAGCCTTATTCTAAAGATGATACATCACCTAAGAAGTGAGCTGCTTCATGACTAGTGATCCTATCCTTGTAGTCAGGGAAAAATGAGGAAAACCCATCAATGGCTACCTGGAGAAGCCTACACCATGATTTAAAAATAACAAAGTCTACGTTTTTAGTATTAGATTACAAACATGAACCTTTTTAATTTATTTATTTTTTGAACAGGGTAGTACGTTTTATATTTTTAACTTACCCGGGGGAAACGCTTCCAACAGCCAAAACAATCAGGGAAATGCTCCCGACCAAATAGGGTACAAAAAAACCCCAATCCTGGAAACAGAAATAGTTGACCAAACTATGTCAAGTATAAACGACTAGCTTAAAATCACCAAAAATTCAAAGTTTTGAGCTCAATAACATTAGAAATTTCCATGTGTTAACAGTCCTATTCTCATTAACACTTTAACTTTATTGCATTCTGATTAACTACAGTGCATTATAAATATTAGAGTTATCGAATAATCTAAAGCATATTTCACTCTAGACGTCATATCCATTAAGGCTTTCATATATATTTGAAGTTTTATAAATAAAAAGAAATATGCACTCAAGGAAAAGAAAGAGATGTTTTTGGAGATAGTAGAGTAGAGGTTACCCCAGGGAGTTGACCAGCAAGAACACCCAAAAACCCCGTAGTTCCTACCACTGTGAAGAGAAATGCAGCCTGCATCAGTCAGAAATCAATCTCATAACACACAAAAGAAAATGATCACCACACACAGATGCAATATGTCATCAAAGGAAAGTATCTTCATAAGGGAAGTGTGTCACTTTCGGCACTGCGAGTATAACTTTAGGACACTCCCGAGTATAACTTTAGGACACGTTCGCCTGAACTTATTTAAGTTCAAGGCCCAAGCTGACTTATGTAGAGTTGCAGACAAAACTAGAGCATTTTAACATAGTAAAATAATATCATTTCACGTTTTTAGCAAAAAACAATACCATTTTTATTGTTTACAGCAACAAGACATTCATTGTCTCATTAATGGAACAATATAAAAGTATTGCTTCGAAATTGCAAATTAACTCAAGTGGAGGAATGAAATGGGTATGAAACTGATAGTCAAGGACTAGTTGAGGTTGATTTTGAAACTGATAATGAGCCCACCCTGCAACTAGCTGAAATAAGCAAACACAAGTTTTATTGCAACATACATCATTTCGAACACTTGGAATTGCAAGATTCTCAGCATTTTTCATCCCCAGTGATGTGAGCTCTCGAACATATGTCTGCAATAGAAATTCTAATGAATAAATCCAAGTGCACGTTGAAATTACACAGTATTAATAATGTCCTTCTACAACTTTTGTATTCTAATGTTTATAAAAATGTCCAAGGCAGCACAGAGTTCACTGACCGTGCGGCGAGAAACATATGGCTGAGAGCTCCATCTTTTAGCCCAACCGACTTTGCCCAGTTCATCAAGTGCCTCCTCCACAGCTTGACTATCTTTCTGCTTCACACAAACGTGATAAAAAGATTACAAGAAAAAACAAAGACTATGGATTGTGAACTTTACGGGAAAGCCTATAAAAATCGCACACTTTTAGGTAAAAGGCGAAGAATAGTTAGCTATGTGTCGGCTATATGCTTTAAAAATGTGCTCACCGTCCCCATCATATAAGCACTGGGCTCTCAATTCAGTAATCACTCCGTTTTAAACCGGCGTGAAACTGGGGGATTCGACTTTTCTAAGCAGAGCACAACAAAAGCTGTTAATAATAATGGGAACAGCGAACGGAGAGAGAAAGGTGGCACGCACCTTTGACAGGGCAGACACCAGAGGATTCAAGTCGACATCTCCCGGAGCTGAGGATGTGGAGAGTGTGATGATCCTGCGCCTGCGATTTATGGGATTCGGAATTGAACTACTTCGAGTGAAACGTAGTGTGTTGTAGTATTGGGTGGCCAGAGGAGAAAGATCACATGGAAAACGATGACAGATTGTGGGCATCTCCTCCGAGTGTTTCTTCTTCTTCCTCTAAATTTGTGAAGGAGATGTACTGGTTTACAGACTGCGCGCGCAACAGTTGCAGTGGTATCACGTGGCGCTGCTACCATATGCCACCTCATTTAAGATAATGTTTCCAGAAATTGTAGAAAGTGTTTCTTCAACAAAAAAAATGTACTCTGACCCCGTTTGGTAACCCTTTTTTCGGTTTATCAGGTTTATCACCCGACTTTTTCACCAAACACATAACTTTTTATTTCGCGTGCTGAATTTTGTAATAAGCAGAAAAAGTAAGGTTGGAGTTACTTTTTTGTCTGTATTGGCTGAAGTTACTGTAGAGGATCATTTTAGCTATTTTTTCATATAATTTGTTATTTAATTTATTAATAAAAAATATTTTAAATATAATTTTTTCATGAATCAGCAGAACCAGCCAATACAGCCATTTCAGCCAGAATTTTATAAATTTCAGCAGAATCAGCCAATTTTAGTGTTACCAAACGAACTCTAAATCTTTATAGTCTATACTCCCGTACTACATATTCATTCATTCAATTCTTTTTTGCAGCCTTCAACATATTTTTTTAATTAAATGCGTAAATTCTTGCATTTTTTATTACACAAATAATCCTATTTTACCAATAATTATGATTTGAAAATTCAAACATTCTAATGTGAAAATAAATGAATTCGGAGTTTTTTTTGCTTCAGATCTTTTTTTTTTTTTTTGAAAAAAGTAACTCAAAAATATAGACATAAATATTTTAACCATGGAACTATTACTACGTATAATTTAGCGCTTGGATTTACATCAGAAAAAACGGAATCTAAAAAAATACTCCCTCCGTCCCTGAAACAAGTTCACCCTTTCCTTTTTGGGTAGTCCCTGAATGAAGTTCACCTTTCCTTATTTGGCAATTTATCTATATCAAAACAGTGTCAAACAGTGCCAAACAGTGCCAAACAGTGTCCAAACAGTGTCCAAACGTGCCCAAACAGTAAAATTTACCCCCAGTAAATTTCTTTCCTTAATATGTGTGAAAAGCAATGCTCAACTTCATTTGGGGACGGAGGGAGTATGTAGCTCATCAAGCTTTATTATATACTCCGTATATATATGTGTATATATATATATATATATAGGGTTGAGATCAGATACAAAGTATGCTTCCCATACAAAATGCAAAATCATCTCATCCGTCCAATATTATAAAATCAAAGGTGGGATTTGTTTAGACCATTACATCTTTCCGTATAAGTGCAACCGTTTTTAATCTTCTCTCCACTAATTGTGGAGCATGCAGTTAGTGGGCGAGTTGTATCATCCACACCGTTATTTAAGTTTTATGGATGGCCACGATTAGTTTGCACTTTGTAAATTAGGATTAGTTTGTACGTGATCCTGAATCTATATATATATATATATATATATATATATATATATATATATATATATATATATATATATACAATACAACAACAACATAATTGTTTGTTGTTGTTTGTTGTATAACATATATATATACACACGCACAATATTGGCAAATCAATATACTCACAATTCATAATTGACATATCAACATAATTGAGAAGAAAGTATTAATTGTCATTAATTAATGGGATGCTGTTTAGATCCGATTCTTAAAATTGATTTTACTCTTTCAGAGAACAGAAGTATAAGTTGGAGTGTTTGGGTGAAAATGCAGAAGTACTTATGGTGCTCTAATTACTCTTAGAAGCAGTTTTTTAGAAACTAAGGGCCAGCTTCTGAAAATTGATTGTGATTCTACTTCTGCTTATTCTTTAAAGCAGAATTAGAATCAATTCCAAATACCCCTAAAAATAGAACATACAAATAATCTCAAAATATTAAAGATCCAATGTTGAGAAGCTCTCACAATTCGTGCTAGGCGCTCTCTCTAAGCTCTCTCCTAGAAAACGGAAGAATTATGGCCGAAAAGGACTCTTAAAGCCCACACACGGTTTGGCGTTTGTGTGTCCGGAACAAAATTGCGAAAAATTGCTCCAGTAGCCTCTGCGTGATTTCTTCTTAGGCGCACGACGTGCGTTAAACTATGTTTTCTAAGGACAAAAGTATGCTTTCTTCACAAAAGTTTCAGCTAATGAAGACATTTACCCACCATAACTTGCAAAACAGGGATTGGATCATCCAACCAAACGATATGGACGAAATGATGGAAGGTCTCATCCTGAAATCCAAACAACAACTATCTGACTTTCTTGTCTGTTTTCACTTTGATCCTCTCACATTCCCGTCATGGTTCCTTCATATGATTTGTATCTCTTTAAGTTATCTTATAAATGAAACTTGAATCGTGTCATTTTTTTGTTTTTACGAAAACGGTATGCTTGAATGATTGACAGAACGTCATCCCGATCGCCGTTTTAAAGTTATATAACCATGTATTCGTCCCCGTTCGATCTTGTACTTGATTCTTGAGCTCCGTTGACTTCAAAATTACTCCTTCAATGACTATGGACCTTCATACTTCTCACTAACTCTCAAAAGTGTATCAATTCGTCTTTGTAAGGAATAAACTGTATTTAGATTTTGATGACGCTAGCGTATTAGGATGTTAGAGTACCCCTTTAGAAAATTGTGTTATAAATTTTCTATTGTAAGTATTTAGAGTATTTGACGGAGCAGAACTGCCAAGGTCTTCTGTATTGCTATTCGAACAAGAAATGCTCAGAGACTAATGAAGACTCAGTGTTCTACAGAATAGCTCCCAGAACTGCTAGGCCTTGGACAAATCTACCTAAGTCGTTAATCTAACGGGAAATTCCCTAATGATTAGGAGCCTCCCAACAGAAGCACTACTGCTCAACGCATTAAATCACGTTTAATGCGCTCCACTCGTTGAGATATTTAAAGAGCATGATTGACTAAAGAATACAGGCGAAAATTATTTAATACTCCCCAAAATAGTAAGTTGACTACTTTGCGGAACCAACAGGTCAAATCAACTGTTGATGCATTTAATGAAGATGTTCTTTACACTCTAACGGGAAGACATCTTTCAGTATATAAGATACACCTCGAAGGAGTAGAAATATAACTTTATCTTTTGAAATCAAGCGAGCAAATATTCCCTTGCGAGCTCATCCTCCATATCCATCACAATAGATCAAGCAAATATTCATATCCTTCAATCCAACTCAAAAAGAAAGTTCCCTCCAGTACTTCAACAACTTTGGAAGGATCACTTTTCCATCTATCACGGAGAATGTTGGAGAAAATCTTTAAATCTTTCAAAGAAATCTTCTTATTTAAGGACACCTGAAAGTAACTGGAGTGAAGTGGTGATATTTCAAGGAAACTCAATGAAAAAGGCCAGTCGTCATAAAATTAGGAAGAGCATCCCGGGTGACAAGAACTTGACCTACTCTGTGAGACATATCCTTTGACTCACAAGAATTTAAAAAATCAGAACAGTCTATTCACACACCCCCTCTAGACTGTTTCTTGTACAACCGGGACCAACAGTCTTGGATAATTCTCCAACGTCGGTGTCAGACTTAATTTCCTGATTTTAAGAACACCAAATGCAAACCAAAACCCGGTGAATTTTGACTTGAGCTCATTTGACACTTTGTGACACATTTAAGTTATGAAGACTAATAAAAACCAATCCCAATACGCAAGAAATGCATGTCAAAATATGAACTTATCAACTTTCTCACACTTTCTTTGTTTGTTCTCAGACAAACTGAACATTGGGTCTTACGATAATCATCGCATGACATCAAACAACATCAAGGACACAGGTAGTTAAACATATATTTACAGAAAAGACAAACTTTAACTCAAGTGAATGCTTCCCTAAACTATTTCTTTGTGCACTGGTTATAAATATTGACAAAAATTAATCAAAACATCTTTAAAGTCAACGCAACACACACAAATACTTTTGCCTCTGATATGAAGGACTTGTGGAGGTGGAGGTGAATGGTGAACATGGTCCTTTCTTTGAGAGATTGGAACAACCTGACAACGGCTTAATGTTTTTCAGGGGTTTCGGGCTATTCTTAGGAGAGAGAAAATCCAGCGAGACACTTAAAAGGGACTATCACCTATCTCTATGCAAGAAGTAGACATGGTGTTGATTGGCACTTTAACATATACTTGAAGGGCTAATGTTAGTCGATCCCAGTTATATCTTTAGCTATCTTCCTCTTGAATAATCAATCGAGAAGTATATCCAATTCATCAAGGGTAGTTATTAATGATGAGACCATTCATTAACAACTTTTATTATTAGCCAAATATAGAACACCGTCATATATCGACTCAATAGCCGTCATATATCGACTTAATAGTAGCATTTAAACTTTTTAACTCCTTGATGAAATCAATTGAGATTGATAACCTCAACACAAAAGTTTTGGTTTAACTAACACAATTAATTCCTCTTAAGGTTATTAAACACGACCGTGCATTAATAACCCGAAGTTACTTACTTTCGAAACCATCAATAATTAACCATCGATTCATTGATTGTTTCTAGTAATAATTAATGTTGAAGCATTAACTAATCATCATTTAGTAACACCCCAACATTAATATATAAATAAGATTAAGGGAAGAATTAATATTCAAGAGAAAAAGTCAAGAAAACAACTCACAACTTTAACATTCAACAAGCTTCAAGAGCAAAACCAAAAAATGAAAGTTTAGGTCCTCATTTGGAGATTAAACAATGCTAGAAAAATATAAGAAATTATTATTCTAAGTAGAGCTTAAGTGTATGGAAGAATGAGTGATAATTGTGAAGAAAAAGTGTGCTATTTATAGGTGTTTTCAACACCTCGGGCCGGATACCTGACCGGGTATAGGTACATACCCTTTGAAAACATTGTCATTGCTCCTCCTTATAATGACCAACTTCCTCTCGGGGTTGAGTGTAGTTGAGGTTGAGGGTGTTCATGTTGTTAAGCATTTTTTGCTCAAATGGAGTATATTGATGGGCTTGAGGATCGGGTTGCGGTTGTGTCACGCCCCGAACCGCATCTAAGCGCGTGTACAACCGCTGTATGATTAAGTGACATCAGTCACAAGTCAACCTCACTTAATCAAACAAGGCGTCCATGAAC